TATTATTAAACTGTTTTTATTCATAAGTAAAAGTTCTACTTTGTTTTCTGTTTTGTAATGTTTTATTGTAGGTTTTCAAAATTCATATCTCAATTCCACAACTACCTGGTCAATCAACACCTCATTCTTTTTTGATGCAATTTCAAAGTTTCACTTCATAATCTTTACTGATTCCTTCTAAAATAGGTACCTACCAGGTAGATACTTACTAGTTACTTTTGCTCATTGTTAATTTATTTCTACATAATATGAAAGTCCTGGATTTCAAATTCATTTATAATTGTAAAATTTTATGAAGGTATCTTGTAAAATAATCCAGGGAAAAACAGTATACATGAGCACTAAGGGAAGGAGTATACTGGAAGATCCTTCTATTTGTAGGTACTTCTTTCTTGACTTCTTTGGAGTGGCATAAGTACAGTAAAATACATGTTATGACAATGTACTTTCATTTTCGAAAATTATTATTAATTTAGTTCCAAAATATACAAAACATAATGAACTATATACAGATTGATGATAGATATTTTCAATTAGATGAATTTAGGATTACAAAATGATATCAAATCACAAAATCTATGATAATATACTCTGTAAATACATTAACTGAAATCCTAGGTCATTTGATCAATGTTTTATGTGGTGGAATTCCAAATTATTCAATGATTTCATCAATATGGTAAAAAAAAACTAGCTTTACAAGATATTAAGTGAATTCCAAGAAGAAATCTCACTACCTCAACTCTAAGTATATTAGGAATATTCACATTATGAAAAGTGTGTTATATGTATACAATTCACACACATGGCACATAGGATCATGACACAATCATGACAATTTGCTGTTATTGCAGTGGAGCACCATAATATATGAGGTATGGGAGTTGCACTGTAAACAATCCTCAAAGCCTGGAAGTAATATTGTTGAAGATAGCCCATTGATAGTTGTATCAACTATTAAATCCACAGCTGTGTCCACAGTAATGTCAGGATGCCTTTGGTGTTGAATTATTTCTTGGTTTAGACTCATTAGAGCTGGTTGCTGCTGATTTCTATTATATATAATTGCACATGATTCTGATGGCTACAATATTTAGCACAAAGTAGTCGAATAGGTTAACACATTGTTTAGGGATGGTTTTCAATATGTTCACAGAAGGCTGTTCACTGTTGAAAAACTTCACTCCTGGTATCACCATTTCTGGTCTGTAGGATCCTTTTGCTTGAAGAGTGGAGATAGAGGTATGATGGTGAATATATCAGCTTCTGATGATAGTGGATATGCTTGTGATTTTTGATATCCCATAAACCTGTCCCACAGAAATGCACTGGTTTGAAGAAAGCTCAGACTATTTGGTCCACGATTCAGTCAGTAGGTAACAGTTATTTTCCTCACATCACGATGAAACAGTATCATCCAACAAAAAATATTATGATTTCAGTAAAAAGTTCAACAATAAACACAAATAACACGATGAAATATCAAGAAGAAAATGTATGCAAATCTCAAGAAATTTTGTAAACAAACTACACACTCTTTGCCGCCATCTTGTTTTGAAACAGCGCCCCCAACGGTCGATCACCTTGCCAATAAAAGCCTAGAAAATGTCAGTCGTTTTAGACCCGAAAATTTTGTAGTGGCAATACTGCCAGGGGTACTGGAATCTCCCATTCGAAGAGGTATGTCCCGAACGGAACGGTACTTGAAATAGGAAGAGGACCTAACGTGACTTATGGCATTGACATAAGACAATTCGACTTTGGAATAATTGGAATTTAACATAGTGATTAGTGACAGACAATGAAATAAAAATAAACAATTGGCAAGGTGATCGACCGTTGGGGGCGCTGTTTCAAAACAAGATGGCGGCAAAGAGTGTGTAGTTTGTTTACAAAATTTCTTGAGATTTGCATACATTTTCTTCTTGATATTTCATCGTGTTATTTGAGTTTATTGTTGAACTTTTTACTGAAATCATAATATTTTTTGTTGGATCATACTGTTTCATCGTGATGTGAGGAAAATAACTGTTACCTACTGACTGAATAGTGGACCGAATAGTCTGAGCTTTCTGCAAACCAGTGCATTTCTGTGGGATAGTTTTATGGGATATCAAAAATCACAAGCATATCCACTATCATCAGAAGCTGATATATTCACCATAATACCTCTATAACTCCACTCTTCAAGCAAAAGGATCCTACAGAACACAAATGGTGATACCAGGAGTGAAGTTTTTCAACAGTGAACAGCCTTCTGTGAACATATTGAAAACCATCCCTAAACAATGTGTTAACCTATTGGACTATTTTGTGCTAAATATTATAGCCATCAGAATCATGTGCAATTGATCCATACAATAGAAATCAGCAGCAACCAGCTCTAATGAGTCTAAACCAAGAAATAATTCAACACCAAAGGCATCCTGACATTACTGTGGATCGAGCTGTGGATTTAATAGTAGATACAACTATCAATGGCCTATCTTCAACAATATTACTTCCAGGCTTTGAGGATTGTTTACACTGCAACTCCAATACCTCATATATTATGGTGCTTCACTGCAATAACAGCAAATTGTCATGTGTGTGAATTGTATCCATATAACACACTTTTCATAATGTGAATATTCCTAATATACTTAGAGTTGAGGTAGGTGGCATCCTAGACTGAGTTTTCTTCTTGGAATTCATTTGATATCTTGTAGGGCTAGTTTTTTTTACCATATTGATGAAATCATTGAATAATTTGGAATTCCACCACATAAAACATTGATCAAATGACCTAGGATTTCAGTTAATGTATTTACACAGTATATTATCATAAATTTTATTGTGATTTGATATCATTTTGTAATCCTAAATTCATCTAATTGAAAATATCTATCTTATCAATCTGTATAGTTCATCATGTTTTGTATATTTTGGAACTTAATAATAATTTTCGAAAATGAAAGTACATTGACATAACATGTGTTTTACTGTACCTACTTATGCCACTCCAAAGAAGTCAAGAAAGAAGTACCTACAAATAGGAGGATCTTCCAGTATACTCCTTCCCTCAATGCTCAAGTATATCTACTGTCTTCCCCTGAATTATTTTACAAGATACCTTTATAAAAATTTACAATTCTAAATGAATTTGAAATCCAGGACTTTCATATTATGGAATCAGTAAAGATTATAAAGTGAAACTTTGAAATTGCATCAAAAAAGAATGAGGTGTTGATTGAGGTAGTTGTAGAATTGAAATATCAATTTTGAAAACCTACAATAAAACATTTCAAAACCGAAAAAAAAAGTTGAACTTTTACTTATGAATAAATACAGTTTAATAATAACATATAAGCAGTAAAATTATGAATACATTTTTCCAAGATACCATATGAAATGTCATGGATATGTTCAAGTACCCAAATAATCAGTGATATCTCCTTGAAAACTTGAATTCAACTTCATGGTATCTGGGTTTTGGTTTCAATTTGTGTAACTATTTGCACCATGGACATTTGTGTAAGTATTTGCACCATGATTTGCACTCAATTGCAAGATACCCTGGATGGCAACTCCTCCCCTGCTGAAAAATTAAAGAAATGTTAGTACCTACTAATAAACAAACCATATCTATTAGCTATTACACAATCTAAATATTCAAATAGAAATAGATTGTGTCACTTCGATGTATGTTCAAAGATTCAATTCAAGCTATGAAGTAAGCTACCTACAATGACCTGCTTGTACCAGGGTTATTATATATCCATAAAATATGCTACTGTTTTTGCTCATATGAATGTAATAGGGAGCTGATTTTTAACTTAATCATTTTGGATGTACATGGAATCTGCCTTGGCTATTTTACTACAAAGATGATACTACAAAATAGGAATCTATGGAGGCCTAGGCAGGATGTCATGAACAAGATTTTTATATGAGCCAAGCATTACAAATAAAACCATGAATTACCCACCTGCACATGTTCATAATGTCTTTTTTCTTGCCCAGCTTTGTGTATTGCAGTTCAAAGGTAAAGGCAATGAATTTGCTTCTTTATTTTTCTCATGAAAATATTTGAAAGAAAAACAACCATAAGTATTTTTCCAAGTCCTGGAGACATTTCCCCATAAACAAAATAGGTATGAACTGTTGATCATTTCAATCATGTTTTCTCTCAGATAGGCACTGCAAATAAGAGTTATTCATCAGTAATAAATATATCAATAATGAATCACAAATTTACCTTATTGTTATCATTATTGGACCAATGAAGTGAAGAAAGGTAAGAAGTTTTTGTTGGAGCTGCATACATCCAGTTTTCAAACTCATTGGATTCTCAACGTTTATCCATTTTTTCCATTCAACTGAGCTGATTTTTCATTATCAGAAAAGATGACTTCTCGAGTGCAGGAAATTCATATTAGAGGACATTATAGGTCCTACATTTTTCCATTGGAACCTTCTACTAGTTCAACCAGCAACCGAACACACTTGATTTCGAGTATTATCAGAGATTTGTTGATACTAATTTATAAAATAATATAGAATTGATTAGGCAATTGATATAAAGTTCATGTCTTGTACTCAAGAGAAGCAAGAAGAGAAAATTAACGTAATTTGTTGAATGGTATTCATAAAATATGAAACATGAAACCCACTGAACACAATAACAAACATGACCTTGAATTACGTCCTAAACTGGTTCAAATTGGCCCACCAGGTGCCGTATCGGAATCGTCACCTTGCCAATTCGCGAAAATCACGAAGTGGGTGGCCTCTGGTGTTTGATTTCGGAAATAAAATAGAGGTGAACACTTAGATCATCTGTAGGATCTAAGCGTTGATCTAAGGGTGAACGACAATCCATTTTAGCATTGTCACCACTTGTCACTACTGTCAGCATTATGATTCAATACTTTTATAGTTAAAAGTAGACTATTTTCAATGATTTTCGTGATTATTTTGTATAGGTATATGAGATAGGTAGATATTTTCAACCTTTCAACATGCAGCAAATACATAAAACCAAAAATACGAAATCGAGAAAGAGTTGTTCAGTTCCGCAGTGCTCTTCATATTGTACAGACAGTGTTTCTTTACACAAATTTTCACTTTGGAACCCCAAATTGTGTAAAAGATGGAGGAATTTGTTGAAGATTGGTAAACCAATAACCAATAATATGTACGTTTGTAGTGAGCACTTCTTACCTAGAGATTTTACATCCTTCAATAAAACTTTAACTGAAGGTAAAGTTTAAGGAATTGACCTTCTTTTAAATCACATCTATGCTTGCAAATTTCATTTAAGGTTCATCAACTGGTAAACCACGACAGCGGATCAAAAAGATAGCCATACCTTCCGTGAACCTTCCTAAGTCATCACATGAAAATACAAAGTGTGAGCGAAGAATGTGAGTGATGATACATAGGTTCTCAAATTGGATGATGTTTGTGCTTTGAATTTTCTAGATTGATGGAAATTCAACAGATAAATACAAAAAATCAAATAGGTCAAGATGTAAGTACTCTAACAAAACCAATTCACCAGTTAGAAGACCAATCTAAGATTACTGATGAAATGGAATTGGAGACAATAATTGGAAGTCAGCTTGGGAATGATGTGATTAGTGAAATGGACATAGAAGTAGAGAAAACTGAAAATCAATCTGTGAGTAATGAGGCCCTTATTGAGTTACCAAAGCCAACAGAGAGAACAAAACCAATTGACCAGTTACAAGACCAATCTGAAATTACTGATGAAATGAAATTGGAGACAATAATTGAAAGTCAGCTTGGGAATGATGTGAATATTGAAATGAACATAGAAGTAGAGAAAACTGAAAATCAATCTATGAGACATGATACCCTTATTGAGTTACCAAAGTCAACAGAGATATCTCAAGTTATTTTTCAACTGCCTCAAATATTAAATACAAACGAAAAATTGAAAACATTCACAGGTATAGTGAATCAATTATGTATACTTTATTTATTCAACAACATTATACGTAAACTGTAACTTTCAATCTGAATTATAAATATTTTTTTTAGGTGTGGATTATACAATCTTGAGAGCCTATAAAATGTGTATGGAGAATACAGCATCCTACAATAATATCAATCCAACTAATATTGAATTCAGCATAATAGGTACTTGTGTTATGCAAATTAAAGACAAATCTTTCATTTTCTTGTCTATCACTTCTGTTTGGTATCAGCAAGTCTACTTGCACAAGAATGTTTTACTCAACAATTCATCTACTTGCATTGGGCATTAAATCGGTTATTCATTGGCCAACTAAAGAGCAAATTGTAGAGAATTTGCCAAAATGTTTCCATAGATTCAAAAATACAAGAGTGGTTCTGGATTGTACAGAAGTGAAAGTTCAAAAATTGAAATGTTTGAAATGCAGGATTTTATCATATTCTCACTATAAAAGAACACACACTGCTAAATTTCTTATTGGGATTACTCCATCTAGATTGATTTCATTTGTCAGTAAAGCATATGGAGGTAGAGCTACTGATAAAGCAATTTTCAATAAGGAAAATCTCATTCAAAAGTTTCAACCCAATGATGGAATAATGGTGGATAAGGGCGTTTTGATTGAAAAGGAATGTGAAGAAAATTTTCTGAAATTGATAAGACCGCCATTTCTAAGAAAGAAGAAACAACTTACAAAAGAAGATGCAAAATTAACTGCAGAGATTGCAAGAGCAAGAGTGCATGTAGAGCGAGCCATTGAAAAAATTAAAAATGTTGCTATTCTGAAGGATCAAATAGACTGGTATAATATGATACCTTATCTCAATGACATTATGATAATTGTTGCTGCCACAGTGAATATGAAAACACCAATTTTAGGGGATGATAAATTTTGATGTTTTATAGGAATGAAAAAACAAAATCAATACATAAATCACCCATTAATCATTTGTTTTATTGATACAATAATAATGCAACATGTGAAGATATTTTTTTGATATTGTCCTTATTAAATCTGAAGAGAACATCTCATCCAACTGTATTTTCACCTCCACATAGCTGTGAGAAAATGAGGAATATACCAACAAATGTGTCTCTGTCAGATTAAGTAGGGCCATTCCCAGCTGCACCTGTCCATAATAGGCATGTTTTGTTTTCAATTTTACTCCAGACCCATCATTCATAAGAAAATCACATGATTGCAGGAATTCCTCTGACCTATTTGACTTTCCTGAAAAATGTGTGATGAATCATACTGAAATTCTAAATTGATAACAAACCAGAGTATGGACATTTTATTTCAATTAATTCCCATGGTTTTCCATCCTGAAAAATAATGGCATCTGGAGAAAATCCCAACCATGGAAACTGTTGGGAGATGAATAAGTTAGTTTCAAAGATTTCATATTCTTTATTATTCGATTGGAATAATTTTAGTGCCTCTGACTCATATTTCAGGCCATGTACAGTGAACTTATTCGAAAATCCCTTTGGGAAAAAAAAACTTGAAGCTTTGCTCTCCCAGGTGTTTTTTTTAAAAGTGTATATAGAGTAGCAATTAGAACCTAAAATGACTCAATGTAGAATATAGGTATATCAAAACATAATGTAATCTCCAAACTCACCAGTGATTCGGAGCTGTCTCTCTTTTTTCCACTTTTCAGACCCCTGTGAATATTCAAGAGCCACCTTCATAACATCTGTGCTCTTGAGGTTCTCCAGAACTGCCTCACAGCATGGTCGCAGGTCAATTAATTCAGAATTTATATTATTCAATTCTCTAAGAAATTTGCTGTTTTCAGCATTTTTCATTAATTTCATAACTGATTTGAGTTTAGATGTAGTTGACCTGGAATATATGAAAAACAAAACAGAAAAAAGAACATCAAAATAAAGAAGTGGAGCAGTTATGTTTCCAATTAAAAGAGGCTGATGGGTATGAAGGTCTTTTTTACTTTTTAATACAAATGGAGTTCATGGAGGATGCATGTATTGTAGAAACACCTATTGTAAAAACCGATAATCTGCGCTTAATTGAAAACATAGTATTGTGAAAAAGCAATTTTCGCAATACATAAAATTTCATGACAGTAGATGAGATACATTTTTGCGATAACTTGAGTCTTTATCTATTGTTTTTACAATACATGAGGCTTAATGTATTGCAAAAATGAGTTTTTGCAACAGATTGATTTTCAGGTTTCGATCTAGTTTCGATTATCTTTTTCTTCTTCTCTACTTATCTTTAATCATAGAATGCATAATATTTTTGAGTTCTGTGCTCTTGATGTCCAGATGTCAGATGTCAAAAACAACTGAACGAACCCCTATATATATATACTGAAAAAGGTTTATCAAAATTCCGAGAATGTATAAAATAAAAAGGTATTTGAATCTGTATTTAAACATTTTAGAGTACTGGTACTGATAGGTAGAATAAGTGAGGGACATTTGCAAACATTTTACAATTACAGAGGTATTCCATGAGCTGTTTGCCCCTTGGTATGGAAATGAGTTATTTTTCTTGGACAAATTGAAATTAGCTTCTAAATGAGTAGTGTTCTAAGAAATTAGAAAGGTGGATTTGTTCTAGGAATGTTCTAGGGTAGGCAATAGTAAAGGTTAATGAATGTGATGGTATACTCACACCTCACCATTCTGGCAGTTTAGGGCATAAGGGTGTGAAGAGAAAACTAACAGTTTCAATCTTACTTTTCATAAAAGGCGAATAAAAATATTAAAGGAATGGTATGATGTACGACTATCTTCAACAGTTCTCAATAATCTCAATAAGTATACCCGTTTCTCGTTCAACGGCTTCAACGTAGATCGTAGATGAAGTCACAAGTCAGTGATTATTTTAAACTTTCGACTCTCTGCTATAGAGGTCCACAGGCCAAAAAAAAAAAGAAGAAGTCATTATCTTTTTCTTCTCGAGCTTTATTTATCTTTTTAGTTTTTACCATGTTTTTACTTACAATACATGAAGCCTAATGTTATGCAAAAATGGGTTATTGCATTTGATGAATTTTGCTATATCAATTATCTCAATACATGAATTGTTCAAATGTTTGTTTTTACAATACATTGCTAGTTAATGTATGGGATGAATCAGTTTTTGCAATACATTGAAATCAATGTATTGCAGAAACTATATTTTTACAATACATTGCTTGTAGTGTATCTCACCATCGTTTTTACCATACATTGCAAGTTGGTGTATTGTAAAAACGTTTCATTTTTGCAACACATTGCGGCAATGTATTGTAAAAACGTTTCATTTTTGCAACACATTGTGGCAATGTATTGTAAAAATGCCAATTTTTGCAATACATTGCCGCAATGTGTAGCAAAAATGACAGTTTTTACGATACATTGCTCTTCAAGTATTGTAAAAATGTCAATTCCTGCAGCAAACTATTGCAAAAACACAATTTTTGTCATACATTCGATCCAATGTATATTAAAAAGTAAAAAGGCACTCCATAGATGGGCCTGTAGTAATAAACATGTATTATACAACCTATCCTCCCTATGAGTAGGAACAGAATTAGTATTCCAGTCATCAGTAGAAACCTCTGTAGAAATTTTTCTACAAGATGCTTCATTATTACTTTCTACTACCATCTTATTTCCTGAATTTCTACCAATGAATTTAGTAATAGCAGCAATTCCAGAGGCTGAAAATAAATCAAGAATGAAAGTTGAAAGTGAGAACTCTCAAGGATGCAAAATTTATGAGCTATTTTTGGAGTTCAGAATATGAAACATCGATCTTATTGGCAAAAATAACACCTTCAACACCATCCACCTAGCCACTTGCCTGTAGAAAGTATTTCAAAATTCTGTTGGTTCAAATGATCATTTGTTTTGAGGTGAACTTTTTTTCTTTTTATAATGGGGTGGCAAAATTCACTCATGGGTTTTGCAGAATACATATCCTCCACTCCTTTCTTTTGTTTTCCCCACTGCTGGGTCAGATCTGTGCAGCTTACATAATCTAAATCTTCATTTCTGAAATTTCCATAGATTATTAATTTACTACTAGTATATTATGATACATGATGAAAATTGCAATTACCTGTTTATACAAATGAGTGTTCCAATAATATGTTTGCAGTAACCAGACAAACCTGCTTTGCAAGTACATTTGCATTCGAAAATGTTTTTTTCATTTGGGATGATACTTATTTCATGAGGAGACTCTGCTAATGCAGATGATTGTAAACACAAGCTTTTGATCACATGCGTTTGTTCTGCATCCACCCCACACAATATAATGTGACCTGCTCTAAAAACTGCTTCTCCTTCTTTCAAGGGTCTCACCCTATCGCCAATATATTCTAATATATCCGCGATGGACACTTCAACTTTAGGCATTTTTCTGAAATATTATGTGACAACTAAGTGACAACAGTTTGTTGTTCAC